CTAGGAGCCACATATGAAGGAGAACATACGTAGTTTATTTTTCTGAGTCTGTATTACTTCACTTAGTATAACAGTTTCTAGATCCATCCATTTACCTACAAACCAATGACTTTAGCAGAATTAGATTTCTATTTGTATGATTATTCTACATGAGGACTTCAGGCCATGCTAACTCATCACCTGTGGACAACATGTAGGCTAACAATCCTAGATAATTGACGCATCACTGAACAGAAGATGAGAAACATATCAATGGAGAGTTTCCTTATGGATGGAACAGCAATACATACTGACCTGCTGTTATCTCATTTTAGAAAAGAAGTACCTGGAGGAGAACTTACCATAACATAAATGATCTAAATATAATCATTAAAGCCAGGCTGGTGGGTGGTTTGTAATCCCTGCACTCAGTAGGCAAAAGCAGGAGGGTCACTGTAAGTTGGAGATCAGCCTAACTTACATAGTGAATTCCAGGTGTCAGACCCAGCTCCACCCCCCAAAATTCATAATAATTATATAGGATGGTGTTGCATCAAGATAGGACAAATATATGAACAATAAAGTACACAAAGTCAAGAGATTAACTGATGTAGATGCTTAATGTGTTAGGCTTAAACAACACTAGCAATTGAAATCTACAATGAAATCATGGCTATTCAAAAAGTAGTACATACTCCAATCCTCCAAAATGAAAAGTCTCACTTCAAAAATAAGATTATCTTAAGAGGTCAGTGTTTGTCCATTTAGACTTACTTTTATGTGCTTATACTAATATATTTTCACATAAAGGAATGTATCATTTATTTTTCGGTTTTTATTAAGTAATATAAAAGTGATATGAATGAAAAATATTGCTCCACAACGTTTTTTTATTTTGTTTCATTTGGGAGAACTGGTCATATGTAGTCCAGATTGCTCTGTAGTTGACAGCTGTCCTTGAATGCCTAATTCTCCTGTCTCCATCACCCATTTGCTGGGATTACAGGTGTATCCCACCACACCAAGGTTTCCACAATTTTTTAATCTAACAATAATACATTTTCTACATATCAGTACACATAAATCTGCCATGATCTGATAATTTGGATATGACATTTAAGCACAATGTAGATTTTTAAATTATTTTAAAATTATTTATTTTTATGTTTCTGTGTTTGAGTACTTTGTCTTCATGTATGTAAGTGCATGCATGTATGCAGTGCCCACAGAAGTCAAAGAGGATGTCAAGATGCCCTGGTTGTTAGCTGACATGTGGGTGCTGAGAACTGAACTTGGGTCAGAGTAGCCAATGCTCTTAACCAGTGAGCCATCTCTCCTGCCCCCACAATATAGATTTTTAAGTCATTCTTTTCCATGAATGTTTCTAATATTTTCCACTTTGCTCATTAGTGCAGATAATATGGCAATAGCAATTCTCATTCACATCTCCTTGAGTTGAGACTGAGTGGTTCCATTGGATTAGAGTACCACCGAAGGAACAATGTACAGGATATCTAGCTAAATTTCATATAAAGAAGTAATAATTATATAGGATTTAAAAATTGTTTTATTACAAGTACGTGTCAAAACTGCATAGGAAAAAATGTACACTAAGAAAAGCATTTTCTGTTTGTGTGAAATTCAAGTGTGCCTGGGTAGCCTATAGTTTATCTGGTACCATTCTCAGGATGAGCATCTATAAGTGAATATTTTTGACAAGTATATACACTGAAAATTTCATTAAATGTTGTGCACCCATTTCTGGTATTTTGTCACATTCGATGGCCGTTCACTTAGTTTTCTTGGTCTTATGTCTCTTTGTTTCATTCATCATTTCCTCAGTGTGGGGTTGAACTTTTAAGAGCATAGTTATCAACCGCTTGAATTTCTGACTCAGGTGAAGATATCCACATGTTTTTGGCCTTTTTCTGATGTCCATATTTTTCTAGAGTATGCTAGTGTGAGGAATATGTGGCATGGCATAGGGTTAGGTGCCAAGACCAGGGCTGAAGCACACAGAGCAGGAACAGACCTATGGCTCCATCTCTCCCCCTGAGCATACTGCTGTGGGCCTGGGTCTTTGCCTTGTGGTGCCTCTTCTGGAGTTGGCTTGGCCTTGACCTTTTTTTGAACCCTGTCTGTTCTGTGTGTGGACAGAGGACAGGGTTGGATAATTTTCTGGAATGGTTGCAAAACTCTGTTAGGAGGAGAGCAGAGAACCGGAACAAGTTTCACAGCGGAGGTGGGGAGTACTCCAGAGAACAGCTGTCTCCAAATCACAGGTGAAACCCTTCATGTGGTCTATGACCTGCCTTTGGTGGGCAATGTAGAGAAGACTGTGTACTACTGGCAGAATCTTAATGAGAGTGTGCAGCCAAGTATTGCTGCATTTCCCTAGGCTAGCTTGCTTTTCTTAAAAAATAACCAAAAAAAAATTAGAAAGCCATTTGAGGAGAGAGACCATGTGAATCATTGATCATGAAAAGCCTGTGGGTGAAGTTTAAAATGCATGTCCAAATGAAAAAGTGTTCTATGAGGCTTGGATTAAAGGAAAATGTCTCTGTGTTGATAACTGCCTGTGGGTGAGGGTCCAGTCTGGAGACAGAAATGATGCTGGTTATTTGTGCTGAGAACACAATATAAAGGCTGCCTGAGGAACAGAAGGCAGATGGCTGTTGAAAGGAGGGAAAGAGCACTTTTAAGTGTCCAGAAGCTGTCGGTGCAAAAGAGCAGGTTCTACTTCAGAATCAGAAAGAGCAGAGCATGAAGAGAAGACACCCTCCCTCCCAAGCTTTGAATCAGAACTTTTTGAAGACTGTGTCTGTTCAAAGTACATGCAGTCTCCCAGGGATTGAGAAAGTTGCCGGGGAGAGTCGGGGTCTGTGTTGCTCTATAGAAGAGACTACTATTGCAGGCTGAGAGAGAGTGGGGATACACCAAAGGGTGGAGCTGCCCAGGCACTGGAGCTTGTGGCTGCTGACCTCTGACCTCCTGCAGTGAATACCAGGAACTACAGGCTGGAACTAGAAAGGAAGCATTTTCCTGCTAGGACTTGCAGGGGCACTCTAATGCTCTATGCCTACAAAGTCTAGCACTCACTTAGCTCCCACAGGAAAAAAAATGACAGAGACCACCATTTCTACAATAATTAGGAAAAGGAGGGCTGATTTAGACCTAGTAGACTGTAAGTGGGCCACAGCCTCAACGGGCACCAGAAAGCAACTACACATTGTATTTAGTTCAAAGGCAATGGAGTCCCTCCCAATCAAACCAAGAACAGAAAAGGAAGTTTTCCTATGACTTGCACTATACAAGATAGTGTCATGGTCCCAAGTCATCGTGATAAGAAAAAGGAAAGGTAATATTACAATTTCAGCATGCAACAAATACTCACTGAAAATGGATTTTAATTAAGGAGAGTTGTTAAGATGGGTTTATAGCAGATAAATATAGAAAGCAATTGGGCTTCCAATGTGCTCAAAAACAATTAGAAGATATAATAGGAAAACATTCAATTCATAGTAGCAGTGAAGCAAAATAAAGTGCATTGGCAGGCTTAAGAAATATGCAGGAGGTATGCAAGGCAAGCTATAAAAATAACTGAAGCACTCTAAATAGAAGCCAGAATCAGTAGATGGTCCGAGGATTTCGTGGTGAGAATCCTCCCCATTTTACTGATGTCAACTGTCCTCATGCTGAGCTCTACATATGGAGCAATTCTGGTTAAAATTAAGCCAACGATGTTTTGCTCTGGGAAAATTTTGATCCTGGTGTTCATAGAGGACAAGGTTTTTCAAAGTATTTGAAAACAACAACGAAGGGGAACTGGTTCTACTCAGACAATAAAACAATGTTTAAGTCTCTATATTAGAAGGCTCTGTCACAAAATCCCATCAATGGGAGTACTGAAAAGCAGAAGCATCTAGATCGTGTGGAAATTAAGAAAGGTTGTAGTAAGATACACAGACTGCAATGGACATTTAGCTATGGGCAAGGAAGCTGGGTGGTTCCTGTCTAGGCAGAGCAGGTGGGAAAAGGGAACGCTAGCCTGTTGGACATCATACAATATAAAAGAGGAACTTGCTGGGGTGGAGGCCTCTTCGTATTCCTTGCAGGCTTCCCAGAAATTGACCTCTGAGCCCAGGGCTTATTAAAGGCTCCTGAATGTCAGATGAGAGGCGTAATGAAAGTACTTTGTGAGGGCACAGTGGGGCCCAGTAAGGTGGGTGGAAGAGAAATAAAGGAAAATGTCATTAACTTTGGAAAGTTAGATTATAATTAATAACGTTCTAGGCGCTCTACTGGAGAAGAAACGTCCAAAGAGCATGCTGTTCCCCTCCCCAGATTCACTGATCAAAAAGAAGAAATGGAAATACACCTGTAGCTGTTGGCTGAGGTTGCTTTTTCCCCAGTCCATTTTCCCGTAGGTCACGGATGGTCACCAGGCACAAACATTGTTATGAGAAAAACACAAAGGAACAGTCGCCAAGTGCTCAGTCTCGGCTAGGCAGTGAGGAAAGGCACTCTAGGGGACTGTACAGAGAGGAAGGAGCAGGGCCTGCTGCTGGGGACAGGCCTACACTCAGGGGCAGAGGCATCTCCTAGGGAGCCTTCTCCACAAGCGGGAGGAAGAAGGAGACACAGATGATCCCAAACGCCCGTATTCTTCCCAGCAACAGCCAATAGGCAGCAAGGGTTTGCTCTGGGCCTGGCCTGGAGGCTTCTGGTCTCTTCCAAGCCTAGCATCAGTGGCCCCCACCTCTGGGAGCAGCACCCCCGCATCCTTCCGGCCCCAGACTGCAGTACCGTCTCCGGCCTGCGGAAGCACTGCGGGGGGCAGCGCCCGCGCGTTCCCACAGCTCACGACAGAGTCAGGCGGCCGAGGCTGCGCCCCATCCTCTGCCTGCTGCTTCCTGGTCCTCGGGCTCTGAGGGCCGCGGCCTCGGCAGGGGCTCCCGGTCTTCTCGGCGGCAGGCGCAGCGTCCGCGGCGACGTCACGGTCCTCGCGGCCTCGCACACAGCGCTCGGGCCCGCCGCCGAATGCCCGTGGACGCGCATCTCCTCCCCGAGTTCCTGCTTCCCGGGCCAGCCAAAGCCGCAGGTGAGAACGTCCGCGGTAGAGGTGGCACCCAGGGCCTGCGGGTCTCAGAGGCCCCCTGGCCTCCTTCTTCTCTCCTCCTTGCCCAGGAAAGCCCCGCGGGGGCGCCTGCAGCGGGGACGCTAAGTGCTTCCCGGATCCACTTCTTCTGAGGCACGTAGCCCCCGCCCAGGTGCTTCTGCAAGCTCCTTTATGGACCCCACACACCCCTAGGGGTTCCCCCGCCGAGCACCCCGCGGGCCCCTCCACCCTTGGCGCGCATGCCCAGAGGCCCTGGGAGCTAGAAAGTAGCTGAGCTGCTGGCGCAGTACCTGCTGGTTAAGAACGCGAAGACTGTGCGGATCAAAAGGGCAGACATGCTGAAGTATGTCATCAAAAAAGGTGCAGGAGCTTCTTCCCCGAGATTTTCAAGAGAGCCTCTGACCTCCCCGAGTTAGTCTTTGGGTCTAGGTGAAGGAACGTGGCCCGCCAGAGCACTCCTATGTCCCGAACAGAAAAGTCCGTCCTGCCCTGCTTTGGGGCCCGCTGTCGGCCTGGGCGCACCAAAGACTGGGCTTCCGCCGAGTACCCCGGACTTGATCTTCATGCAGGCCACCTGTATCCCCGAGGAGGTGTTCTGGGAGGTGTGGAGGGTTTTGGAGGTATGTTCTCCTAAAAAGCATTCCAAGCGTGGGGAGCCGTCACCAAAGCGCATCGCTTGTGTTGCAGCACAAGTATCTGGTGCACAAGTAGGTGTCCAACAGCAGTCCCGTGCTCTCGGTATTCTTGTGGGGCTCTCAAAGGAAACAAGACAGATGGAAGTCCTGGAGTTTGTGGCCAAAGTGAATGACACCCACCCCAGAGCCTTGCTGTGGCAGTAACTGAGGCGTTGAAAGAAGAGGAGGAAATACCCGGTCCCCGAGACACAGCTGCTGGTGATGATGTGACAAGTGCGAGTGTTAGTGCCAGTTCCATTTCCAGGGCCTGTGCCATGGCTGAAGCAAGCATCAGCACCAGTGTCAATGCAAGTGCCAGTGCCAGTGCCAGGGCTAGAGCCATGGCCTGAGTGATGGTCAGTACCGGGGACAGTACCAGTGCTGGTTACAATCTCAGGCTAGAGTCAGGGCTTCTCCTGCCACCAGGTGTGGCTGGGGCTGAGAGTTCCTCGGTTTTGTTGCGGGTAGTCAAAGGGGTGCTGGAGCAGTGGGCCATGGGGCTCTGATTTAGGAAGCCTGCACGGATTGACTGGGGCCCGGAAGGATAAATGGCATTTCTCTTCCAGTTCTCTGTGTGCTTCTTGGTGACTTAGCTCTCAACTTTCACATGGCAAAGTTGCACTTGCTTTGTTGTTACGGTTTTTTCTACTGATAATCTATAGGCAAAATGATGAAATTAAGTGATAGGGGCTGTAGATGTAGCTCAGCGGTAGAAGGCTTTCATCTCATGCGTTAGGCCGTGGGTTCTATCCCCAGAACCACAAAATAACACACATCAAAACCGCCTCACTGTGAACAGAATTAACTCACAGTTAAAGCAGAAATCATATTAAATATCTTTTTCAAATCCTTGCTTTTCTAGACATGTAAATCTCAGTATTTAGGTTTATGCTTGGCATTTGTCCAGTGTTTTAGTGGTCCTTATTTCAGTTTCAGGAGAGATTTGCTATTTTACAGAAACAGTTGTGACACTGTCATTTTATGTTGGAAACACACTAGAGTATTGGAGCAAGTAGTTCTTTGAAACTCTGAAGGAATTTACAGGACAATGACTCCGCTTCAAATCTTGCCAACATCTGACATACAACACAGAGCTGATATTTATTTGTATTTACCTAGATCTCTGGAATGTAGGGACAATAAAAAAATGTTATGAATTAGATACCTTGCTCATGGACTCATTTATTTAAAGTATATTTACTGACTACCACATATAAGGTACTGTGCCAAGCGCTGGAGATTTAAAGATACACCAGACTTGACCTCTGCCTCACATCTGAGAGTCTATTTGGTGCTGTTATGGGAGTGTATGAACCAGGTGGTCAGGGAGCTGAGAGGAGGGCCATCTAACTCTTGGAAGTGGGCATCTGGGAGGCAGCAGGCTTCATGGCTGAGAGTTGTGCCTTGAGATCTGTAGCACTAGAGACAGAACGTGCAAAGGCATCAGGCAGGGAATTGTGGGTACCTGGAGAACGCCATGTTTCCATGGACCTGGAAGGTTAGAATTAGAGGACACTGGAGAGATTCTCTGGGAGTGAGGTCACACGTGCAGGGCTCACAGTCTTTCGTTGGTCTACTTCAGGGCTGATAGATAAACATGGGGTTGGAAATCATTCTTTTGGACCAGACACTCTGGGCTCTTAGGAGAGCCAGAGAGAAGGCCCAATTATGGGAGCTGCTGTGGAACCAGCCATGCAGGTTATCCACTGCACATGCCAAGTTCTTCCATCTATCATCTCTACGGAGTGGCAGGAGACAGGTAAATGTCCATTCACCAGAGCAGAGATCATCTCTTGAGGTTTTGGCACTGAGCAGAGATTTGTCCCTCTGAGGCCCAGGAGAGCCAGAGCTTAGTGTCTTACAAGGACATTGGTATGATTACAGTTAGGTTTTATGAATTAAAAAGCAACAAAGGCCTGGGTGTTAGCAGCTGCAAATGATTCTGTTCCTGTTGTGGGAACACTGTTGTTAGAGGTGAGAAGCAGATTAGCCTGGAGCAGAGCCAGGATGATGACCAGTCCCAGGCCCCAAATCAATTTGGATGGGCTACAGAGGTTTTTATGTGTGTGTGTGTGTGGGGGGGGTGCTGATGAGTTCACAACCTTACCAAATTTCACTGATCAGTGTGATGTGGTTTTGAAGGACCTGCATTTTCTGTACCAACTTAGAATAGCTCCCAGTGGGAATCATGAGCAGACTAACTAGCCCATGGTTACCTTTGGCCCTTACAGATTGGCAGGGACATTTGGAATATGTTCTGGTAGGCCTTGGAAACTTCTTGTCCCCTAGACTCAAATACCATGTAATCTGATAGCAGTTCTCTTGGGGCCTCCCACAGGATATGTGGGGTCCAGAGAACACTGCCCCCCAGGGCCCCTCCCTCCCTCACTTCTCTGTTAGCTTCAAGGAGAGGTGGCTGCTGGAGGGGTGGGGGTGATCGTAATATGGGAATGTGAAATATGAAGAGAATGGGGAAGTGTTGTGGGAATGTTCTGCTTCCTCTGGGATGGGGCTCAGGCATGGATATTTGGGTGTCACTCTGAAGCCTTCCTTCGTATCCCCAAACAGCTCTTCCCCGACTCAGCGCCCACAACCATTGTCAGCCTGTATTGAGATGGAATTTTGTCTAGTTCTTACATTCAATTTTTTTTCTCCAAAATAAGTATGGAAAAGCATTGCCTGTAGCCCACAGCCCTAATAATGTAGCAACATGCTCTGTTGTCCGATGACAAGTATCAAGGATGTGGTCCATCCATTTGTATGCATCTGAAAAACCCTCTCCATCTCCAAATTCTAAGATATCCTACAGAAAATAGCACTTTTTCTGAGGAGCTGCAGGAATGATATTGATGCAAAACCAAACAGACATCAAGATGTATTTCCACCTGGATTGGAAAGAAGCAGGAGAGAGCCAGATATGGCAGATGGAAGAGTGCGAGCCTATAGAAAGAAGGAGTGGCTCTTCCCAGAGTGCTGCTCTTCCAGAGCAGGAGGCAGTATCTCCACTTGTTTATCCAAACAAGGCTGAGGCTCCACTCTGGGTGGCACTATGGGATCCAGGTCCCCATTTAGACAGAAAAGAAACCAAAGTTGTCCACTTCCCTGCTAATTGTGTCTGAAGGACAGGACGTTATTGCCCTGACCTCTGTGATACTTGGTGTTGCAGTTTCTAACACAGCCTCCTCCATGCTGTGTTAGACTCAATTGCTCCACCCTCCCTGTCAGCCTTGTCCTGAGGAAACAGTGTTGCAGTACCTTTAAAAGTCACTTGAGAAAGGCAAGCACCCCCATCTCACAGAGAGGACCCATGTGTAGCTGGAGACCAGGTTGTCTCTTAGAGTGGTTCCATCTTGAGGAGAGGTGGGATGCTTGGGAACTGTTTGTGAGCTCTGAAGTCTAAAGCACTTTCATGGTTCCACAGATTCTTTTTGTAAGTGGTTCTCCTCACACACCCTCTTCATAAACAGTGTCCACGATTTCTCAGATAAGAAGCCTGCTTGCATGTGCTGCAGGGGAGAAGGGACATGCTAGACCCTCCTCATGTCTGTGTGAAAATGCCCCCTAAGGGTCAGATCTACCAGCTGTGGGAAATTCACTGTATCCTGATCTCTGCATATTGCACAAGGCTTTCCCATACCCTTCCCGTGCAGCAGGCAGCATTGGCTGTAGAAGGAGTGTGAATGGCCTTCACGACTAAGGACACTGCTAGATCTTCTCTCCACAATCCCCTACCAGACCAAAGCTGACACCCTCAGGGCATCTGAAATTGGTGTCATTATGCAAAGCAAAGCGATATCACAGAGCCACAATAGTCAAGCATGCCAGCATTTATTTAAGGCTCACTGAACAAGATAGTTGGGAGACCCAGGGCCTGGGAAGAAGGGCTTGGTACTGTTCATGGCCTCATGTCTTTGGCTCCCATGATCTCAGCCTCGGGATGCCCAGTATCTTCTCCTGAGAAGGAAAGAGAGGAACAAACAGACTCTTTGAGAGCCTGGGGGAACTGAGACATGGGCTGGGGTTCTCTTGCATGGGAGAGGAAGGGAGACATCTCAGCTTCCTGTGTGCAGCGAGAGAGGCAGAGACTGGCTCAGAACCCTCACCTGAAGAACTTGGCCACATGTGCGTGCCCTCTCTGGAACCAGCCCTTCCAAGACCTTCCCCGAGGAGCAAACTCGCTGGTGTGGCCTTGGCCACTGGCTGAGCTCTCCATGGTGTGAAGAAAGACAACCACTTCCTGGGATCGTTCTTATGGGCCTTGCAGGGCCTACAAAAGAGTCAGTGACCTCCTCCCAGCATGCCTGGAAT